TTTTGAGACTTTGGACACATTTGGATGCTTTTAGAAATCTACAGAACCTTTTTGAGGGGTTCTGCAAACCTCCTTTTTTTTTCAGAGTATGAGGCACTGTTCGGCTCACAATCAGTTTTGAAAATTCATTTCTTAAACGGCTGTTGAAAAATTCACCTGTTCTACGAAAATATTTCAGAAACTGTAAAATTGCATTAATTTTGTTTTCTATTTAGTAAGGGAATACAGCAAAGCTGCAAAATAAAATAAAGTATTTTGAAAAAGTTTTGGCAATGTTATGGCTGTGTGTTTTTTTTTGAGCGGCACTCATTATTTTGCAAACATCGTTATCGAAGTATTACTATTCTGAAACGAAGAAATTACATAAGCAAAATAATCATTTGTCGAAGGAAGAGATATTTTAAAGATCGGAAAGATTGAACTTGATGATAACGTTAATATTTACCTGATATCCATGTTATGTATCAATAATTTTGTTCAGTCGTACAGACACATTACGAGCTGAACATAAAAGGTTCAAGTCATTCAAATTGTCCAAAATGCGATAGACGAGCTCAATCGGTAGTTTCAGAAGAGACGAAGAAATTTGATGTGCCATAAATTTTGCTTGTTATCAGACACAATATTTTGTTACAAATGAATATTTGTTGTGTTTTTTCCCTTTATGTAGACATTTTTATTGATAATCTGTAATCTACCTTCATTACCTGTATGCAATTTTCTCCCTTAAAAAGAACGCAAACGAACGCAACGTAGCAAATAGAATAAAAGCAAACGTGCCACAGTGACTTATCGCACAAAAGCTTTCTCATCACTAATGCATGAAAGACTTTGCTTCATAATTTTTTTCTTTCACTATCAGTTTCAAGGGGAACAGTGAAAAGAAAACACAAAATTACAAGCACCAAACTATCAAATAATAATTTGGCCAAACATGAAACAGTGTGCACTGTAAAAAGAAATTCGTAGAATAATAAACCCTAGTATTTTAGGAAAATCTTCCTAAACCCCTAAAGGGTTTGTGCTGGTGTGCCAAACCTTTAAAGGGTTTCTGAGCAGAAGGGTTTATTAGACCAAGGGTATTTGAAAATAAAAAGGGTTTATTGTTGTACGCTTTCATGGAAAGGGTTTTTCATTCTACCCGCAAGGGTTTATTATTACACTTTTTCATGAAAGGGTTGTTATTCTACGTTCAACAGTTTACTCTTATATTCTTCCAGAAAAAGTTTTTTCATTTTGTGCTAAAAAGATTATTTTTTTCTTTGAGATATGTATTATACTTTGGTTATGGTAAACGTAATTATTGCTCTGCTTATTTAATGATTATGCTTCGCTCTTACAGTACTCTTTCCGCGCAAATTTGAGGAGCTGGTGGATCGAGTGAAATACATGCAGTCAACCATTATTTACAGTATTTTATCTCGAATCCCTTTAGTTATACATGATGTATATCTAATGGGTGCGTCAGGTTGAATGGTCGCGTTTTGCATTCCAATTTTCAGTTACTTAATATATTGTATTAAAAAAACAAAGTATACCACAAAATGCAGCATGAAAAGCTCTACAATTTACATATGACTACCTTTTTTTATTGTTGCACTTTTTGCTTTCAAAGTGATCAAAATTTTGAGGGATAAAATTTTAACCGTGCGAAAACAATACTTTTTCCGCGCAAGATGATTTCTTTTTGTGTACTCAAAAAGTGATTACACTCTAGAATCGGTCAGTGTGTCCGTCCGACCGTCCGTATACACGATAACTTTCGAAAAGAGAGTCAGATCGCGATGAAATTTTCTACACAGTTTAGTCTTAACAATATCTCGGTCGAGTTCGAAGATGAGCATGATTGGCCGAGCCGTTCCTGAGTTATTGCAAAAATAGTCATTTCCCCTATGCCGCCTATGCGAAAATCGACCTCTTCCCGCTTTCGTGAACAACTTTTCCTATCATAGTCAAATAAAACCCCAACTATTATATACTATTCGATAGAGAATTTCACGAGCTACAAAATGGTATATAGAACATAAAGAAACAAGAAGGCTAACTCGCCTAATGCAACGATAGTTAAACGGAAATTGGTTCTGTTTTTGTCCACGCTCTGATTGATCCCCAATTCGAGCTCTGTCTTTTGATCACAGAGATGGTACTTCGAGGTTTTCTGGGGCGGAGAACTCGAATATGTACTCCACTTGCCTCGAAATGCCATTGGTTGAGCAGGGACCAATAAAAATCAAGTTATAGGAAAAACGACTTTCTTAGGGTAATTCAATGCGAAGAGTTCAAATCTGAGCTGTATTCGGCCATAAATCCTATTGGTTGAGCAGTAGACAATAGAATTCATGTGTTTATAGAAAGGTTTGCGAGGATAATTTTGATGTCCACATATTCTAGGATGACTCATCTGTCTAATTCACTTTTTGAAGTACGCATAACTCTCGGATTTAGATTCGAGGTTTCCACATTTATTTATAGCTGTATTTTTTGCTTTCAAAATGGTTAAAACTTTGGGCAACCAAATTTCAACCGTACGAAAACGATATTATTTTTTGGCATAAGATGAGTTCGTAGCTTCTTATTTACCACTTGATGTCTTGGGGTGTGGGTGTGGGTGTGGGTGGAGAGTGTGGGTGGGGGTGGATTGGTGTGGTTGTGGATGACTGTAGGGGAAGATTAGAACAATACCCACACCCAAACCCACGCCCACACCCACATGCACACGTACACCCACACCCACACCCACACCCATAACTCTTTCTATATGAAAGGATAGAATGAGGTTGGATGCAATTAAGAATATGAGTAATTGATTCTGCTAGTATGCCCATATCTCGATGAACAGAAACCTCACTTTCGCAGCAATATACACAACAACTCTCACACATGAGTGCTCTTTGATGTATACATACACACACATCCACACTTCGTACGATGATGCTCAATGTATTCTAAAAAAAGACATTAAAAGCAGCGTAGAATTCGCGATATAGAACACATGTTATTGTTTTATAGGTGTTCTAATCAAAATTTGTTTCGTCAAGTATTGTTTTCTGTTTAAGCAGAATAATGAATAATTTATGTCAAATGACGTCATTTTTTTATCGACTTTAGGCTTTTCGTTTGATACTGTGAACCCAACGTTGCTGAGCGTCCATTATGTTAGGATTGAATAGATGATTCATCTTCGTGAAGAGTGTAAACATGCCAATCATATTGACCGGAATCATAAATATCATGGTAACAGCATTCATTATAGCCACAGGCTGACGACAAAGTCTTTCAAAGTCTCCAGAAGACATAACATCTATTGGCGACAACGTGGCCGTTGTAGTTGTCGTTGTCACTGCTACATAGAAAAGGAAATAAGGTTGACATCATACTCGATATTCATGGTTCTGAAAACAATGATATTATTATTGACAGTGCATGCTAATGAGAAACTCTATGCTATGTTCGACTTCACAGTATCTCATCGATTGCTATATCATTCAGGTAATGCCCGTGATAATAATATTCAAACGATATAGCGCACGACCAGAACATATTCTACCATTGAACACTACAAACATCTGTGAACAATGGATCTAAATCGTAACATCACCCTATGACAATTCAATGCTTTTCTTTTTCACAAGTGCAATTTTTCATTATCTTTATATGCTAATTATAAAACGTGTGAACAGTTATGCTGAACATTTTAGACTCCTATAAATAGCAGTAAACATTTTACACGATCTCATCGCTTAACTTAGGATGTCACAGAGCTTTTCAAACTGAGAAATTTATATGGCAAGTTATATGTTTCGCTTTGTTCTCAATTGTCTGATTTGAAATTGTCATACTTATCACTTAAAATCTAAAACAGACTTTTCAGAGCAACGACAGCAACTACTTCAGTATTGAATGAGAAAGAGAACGTTTTTGTTTTTTTTTGAAAGATTTTTCTATATTCTCTATCATAAAGAAAAGATAATACGTCTAACTAACTTGTCGAAACACTAGTTGTACTGGTGGTTGGTGTTGTGGATGTAGTTGAAATTACAGTAGAAGTAGGGACCACGATACCAGTTGTTGTCAAATTTGCTATGGGTGTTGTCGTACTTGCCGGCTAGACAAGTTATAATAAATGTAATAGTCGAAGAGAAGTCGTTACGTACGTACTCGTGTAGTAACAGTATGAGAAGTAGGTGGCGTTGTCGTCGTTGTAGTTGTACTAGACAGTGCCGGATTCCAAATATCAAACACCCAAAAGTTCGGATCTGTAATGGATGCGGATTCGGCGTCTATTTATTCTTTCATAGAAATCTGTTAATCTATTAAGACATAAGTACTTACGACAAAAATCTGTACCACTCGATGCTCCTACAGAAGAAAGAAACACAGAGGTAGAAATGTTACTACTATGAGCAGAGTGAAAACAATTCAAACCGCTATCAAATGTCACATAGTACGTGTGACCAGGAATCCACGAGTAAGGTGCATAGATAATAAGCGTATCTGTGGAATAGATCACGTTAGGTGACCAGCCACAATCGTATCGCAATACAATTGTATTGTTCACCGTTTTATCATTGAAATTAACATATGTTCCATTGCGAGTGGGACGATTGACAGTCATCCCATTAACACCTACAAATGTAAGAACAAAATGAGACCGATATTCAGAAGTGTCAATAACATACTTTGGATGGAGAAAATTGTTTGATTAGCGAATACAGTGCCTATTGGTGATGCTGAGCCTTGAACAAGCAATGGGGTCTGTACAGGCCATTCCATTTATTTTGAAACGATTTCACTGGCTCATTTTTTTCACCAATAAATGATATAGATTTTATGATTCATATTTCAGTTTATCCTACTAAAGCTATATACGTTCTAATGATATTTATATTTTACATAAAAGAATGCCTCGAAATAAAATATCGGATAATATCGAAGGTATCGTCAAATATCTTTTGACGAAAAAGTATTCATACTATGTGATCCAGCAAGAACTAGCACGAATGAATTTGAATGTATCAAAAAGCACTATCAGTCGTATTGCTAATAAGGTTGGAAAACAACGGCAATTATGCTTATTGAATACTGAAAAACCAAAGTTTCATCGTCGTCGTCATATAGCAACACCTTCCATAGTTCGTCGTATTACATCATACATTAATCAAGAAAATCCCCCAACCGTTAATTTAATGGCTGCAAGGTGTCACATTAGTGTTGGTACCACGTTTCGTACTATTCGTGATATTATCCATGCAAGATGTCGTAAAAAAAGACCAGTACATCGACTTTATCCAGCTATTATTGAAAAGAGACGATCTCGAGCTTGGCTTATGTACCGACGATTATCAAATGAAAAGTATAAGAATTATCTAAGTACTGATGAAGCATGGTTTTATCTCGATGCGAGTCAAGGTATAAGAGATATATATTATGTTAGAAGTAATCAACTACCAGCACAAATAAAAAAAATTGAACAAAACGATTTACATCCTGTAGCTGTAATGGTTTGGGCTGGTGTCAGTTCACATGGAAAAACTCAAGTATATTTTATTGAACATGGGGCTACAATAACCAGCAAATATTATATCGAACATATCATAGAGCCACTTATTAAATATGATATTCCTCGTTTGTTTCCTGGTGATATGCAAAAGAAAATGGTGCTACATCAAGACAGTGCTCCTGGTCATGTCGCAAAGAATACAATTTCTTATATGAAGGAACACAACATTAATGTTATAATGCCGCATGAGTGGCTACCTAAGAGTCCTGATGCTGCACCAATGGACTATTCAATATGGGGGATTATGAAAGAACGAGTACGAAAGCACAAAGTGTCAACGCTGAAAGGACTAAAAAATGCTATAAAAGTTGAGTGGGAAAACCTTGAGCAAGACATTATCGACAACGCTTTGGAAAGTTGGGCAAAGCGTTGTAGATTAATTTACTATGCCCATGGATCCCATATCGAACATCTTTTGCAATAACTGCTTTAAAGTAGAAGAAGAAAAAGATTTGTATTTTGTTTCAAAATAAACGGAATGGCCTGTATATTTCGAATGTATTCAGATAACGTTTCATTATACTTTTCTCGCATTGATTTTCATGGACGTACCAAACTTTATACATACAGTTGTATGTCTTTAAAATCTATATAATGCTATTCGGTTCTATTCATTGCAAATAATCAATTTCATAATCAGTTTCAAGAATGGGTATTGACATGAGCATCTGTGAAGAGAACATTCATATCTCATTTCAACGTACTTTNATATATAAAAGAACAAACAAACAAACACAGATGGGAGAGACCTGGCTAACTTTCTTTAAAAGGGAATCCTTGAAATTATTTTGAAGTTTTCCAGCATTCCCAGAGTTGAAAGGGTGCAGAGTCTTCAGGATAATGACGACCATGATCAATTCTATAAGATTCGAAGGATTCTAAATGATCAGACTTATAGAAGACTTGGAATTCTGGAAAACCAGAAAAGCCTTATAGGCTTTTCAACGTAAAACTAGCATTCCATGCTTATGACATGCTTGAAATGGCGCGAAGTTTGCAGGACAATGGTGGTCCAGGGTAAATTCTATGAGATTTCAAGCGACCGGACTTACGGTAGCCTTCGGATACTAGAAAACCTGCAGCCTCTTTGAAGTACTATAGGCACAGGAAACTAAACCAAGAATTCCAATGATTGTACTACTTTAAACGGTATGCGATCTTCGCATTCCTAATAGTCAAAATGAATTCGATCAGATTCCAAGGATTTTGATTGACCGGACATAGGAAAGCCTTGGAGATTCAACAAAACCTACAACCTCGTTGAAGTACAGTAGGCATAGGAAGCTAAATCAAGAATTTCAAGATTTTCACGACATCAAACTGTGTGAGATCATCAGGATATTGATCACTGTAGCATATTCTATCAGATTCCAAGGATTCCAAGCGATTGAACTTGGGAAAGCTTTAGAATCCTAGAAAACCAAAAACCTCCTTCGAGTACCAAAGTTATAAGGTGTGGGTGCGGGCGGGTGTCGGTGGGTAGGTGAGTGCGATTGTGAAACTGCAGAAGACGTTTAAAGCCAGGCCACAACAGCAGCCAAGCTCAAACCCAGATGCAAACTGCAGACCTACCCCACACCCACAGTCACACCCGCACTCTCAAGTTGCGTATTACAACTTTATACACCAGGAAGTAAATGATCATCTCACATAAAATACATGTTGCGATGATGAAAACTTGCGGGTCGGTGGCATCATTAACCTGTCAGAGCAACACTTGTCACAAACAAAATAATAATAATAATAACACTGTGCTTCTCTTGTTACTCAAATCCCATCGAAAGATAATAATGAAACGTCTTCAGTCTGGAAACGATTCGTGTCTTACTATCAACATATTTCGATTTACAAAGAGAATTTTTTATTCTGTGCCTTTTTGCTTTCCAGAAACATCAACATTACCTTGTCACTGCTTTCTGATATCATGGCTAATTTCAATGCATGATTCATTCGAAAAAATCGCCTTCGGTTTCGCGTAGGATACGTTAATATCTATGTACGAAAGATTAATCTCAACCCATTCTAATCATATCATCCATAAAGAGAGCAACATAATTTCGTTCTCTTCAACAGGACGGCAATGTACAGCTGCTTTTCAACCGATATATAGTCATGGCAGTAATCTGAATAGACTTCATCTACTTTATAGATTTAGTTGAAGGTTGCTCTGGTAGGTCATTGGTTTGGGTAGCCCGCACATGTTCATCATCGCATCGTTTCTTTAATCAAAAGTAGATCATTTACTTCTAGGTAAGTTGTAATAAGCAATTTTTGGAAGTGTGTATGTAGAGAACGATATCTAGATGGTCTTTATGCATAGCATGCGAATATGTATCGCAGAGAACATGTGTAAAGAGAGTGCATATGTCTTGTTCTGCATATTGACAATGAAAGTTGCTTCTTAGAAATTACCTAGAAGTGAATGATCAACTTTGCTAACAATTTTGTTTGTATTATTTAGAGAATCTTTCACTCTCTTTTCAAATATTTTATTTCGATTAAAAAAATAAATACTTTTTCTTTTATTCGTTTACAAAATTTCGTTTACTATGAGAAAAGAAAAATCTATCGGGAACTGGCAATTATATATATTTTGTTTTATTTAATCAAGTTCTTCAATTGTTGGACCATTACCATTTGATTTCGATGCACTATGATCCGATGGTATATCGTTTTTATGAATTTTAGTCATAATTGGTGAACAAATTTTTTCAATTTCTTTCATTTGATGTACAAATTCATCTTTTTCAGCCAAATGATTTAATTCTATCCATTTTAATGTTGATTCAATTGTTTGATTTATTTTTGTTTTATCATCCATTGAAAGTTTTGATGAAATTTTATCATCATTAATACTTGATTTCATATTATAACAATATGATTCAAGTGAATTTTTTGCTATTATACGTTCATGTTGTAATTCATCTTCTTGTTTATATTTTTCAGCATCGATAACCATACTTTGAATTTCTTCTTGTGATAATCGATTTTGATCATTTCGAATTTCGATTTTTTTTTCTCGACCAGTTGATTTTTCAACAGCAGATACATTTAATATTCCATCAAATCCAATATCAAATGTAACTTCAATTTGTGGTACACCACGTGGTGCAGGTGGAATACCAGTCATTTCAAAATTTCCAAGTAAATGATTGTCTTTAGTTATTTTACGTTCACCTTCAAAAACTTTAATATCAACACCAGGTTGATTATCTGAATAGGTTGTAAATGTTTGTGCTTGTCGCGATGGAATAGTTGTACCACGTTTAATCAATGTTGCCATAACACCACCAGCTGTTTCAATACCCAATGAAAGTGGTGCAACATCAAGTAATAGTACTTCTTTAACTGCATCGGATTTATCACCTTTTAAAATAGCTGCTTGAACAGCTGCACCATAAGCTACAGCTTCATCGGGATTAACAGTTTTATTTAATTCTTTACCATGAAAGAAATCTTGAAGTAATTTTTGTACTTTTGGAATACGTGTTGAACCACCGACGAGTACTATTTCATTAATATTTGATTTATCCATTTTAGCATCACGTAAAGCTTGTTCAACTGGTTCAAGTGTTGAACGAAATAGATCAGCACATAATTCTTCAAAACGAGCTCGTGTTATTGTTGTATAAAAATCAAGACCTTCATGAAGTGAATCAATTTCAATTGTTGTTTGAGACAATGCTGATAATGTACGTTTAGCTCGTTCACATGCCGTATGTAAACGCCGAATTGCGCGTGCATTTTGTGATATATCTTTATTAGTTTTTCTTTTAAATTCTTGTATAAAATGTGTAACCATACGATTATCAAAATCTTCGCCACCTAAATGTGTATCACCAGCTGTTGATTTAACTTCAAAAACACCATTATCAATAATGAGTATAGATACATCAAATGTACCACCACCCAAATCAAATATAAGAACATTTTTTTCACCGGATGCTTTTTTATCTAAACCATAAGCCATTGCTGCTGCTGTTGGTTCATTTATAATACGTAAGACATTAAGACCAGCAATAGTACCAGCATCTTTTGTTGCTTGTCGTTGTGCATCATTAAAATAAGCTGGAACAGTAACAACAGCATCTAAAACTTTTTTACCAAGATAAGTTTCTGCAGTTTCTTTCATTTTGGTTAAAACCATTGATGAAATTTCTTCTGGTGTAAATAATTTTGTTTCATTTTTATATTGTACTTGAATTTTTGGTTTTCCATTATCATCAATTACTTTAAATGGCCAATGTTTCATATCGGACTGTACAGTTGAATCGTCAAATTTACGCCCAATAAGTCTTTTAGCATCAAAGATTGTATTAATTGGATTCATTGCTACTTGATTTTTAGCTGCACCACCAATTAAACGTTCACTATCCGTGAATGCAACATAGGATGGTGTTGTTCGATCACCTTGATCATTAGCAATAATTTCCACTTTACCATGTTGAAATACACCAACGCATGAATATGTTGTGCCTAAATCAATACCAATAGCATGAGACATGTTTGTTTGATGACAGAAAATATTTCGATCGATTGACTGTGTTGATCATGTTTTTTTGGAGATGGCATATATAGCATTTCGGTGCATACGTTCTAATACAATCCAGAAGATTCGAGTACTGATGAGAAGAGTACAGAAGGCTTGACTAATTAAAATGAAAATGGGAAATACATGATGACTGATGAGCTGATGTAAAATTTGCAGTTTTACGAAATTTCCGTGGTGTATGTGTAATGATAGCCAAACCATACGATTGTCATTCGTCGATCATGTACACGAATAGTGTATGCATTGAATGCGACATCTGTTTAGAAGAAAAAACGCTTTGATCAAATACATGTTGCAATGACAAAAACGTGCTGGTTGGTGTCAACATCGACTTGCCAAAGCGAGATATCACAATAATTAAAATCAAGTTTTTGATATCAGTTCA